AAGGAGAAATGGGCTAGGAGGACTTCCAGCTTGCAAACAACCTAAATGGTGCTATAAATATTGTATATCTTAACAGTCACACAGACGTGACTTAACATCTCTATGTAAAAATCTGATATGAAATGAGAAATCTGATATTAAACAAAAAAATCTGACATAATGTATGCAACATTTACAAATAAATGTTTACGTGGTTAGATAGACCTACAACATAACCTGAAATCATTTGCCATAATGACAGCTTCGTTGTCAGACTGAGGAATCTTCCTTCAAACGTGGCTCTAAGTGCCTGTTTGGCTTAGACCTTTCAGCTGTTTACTTAGGTTGTGGATTTGTCCTTCACAGAATATTCTTTTGTTACATATTGGTTTATTATCTGCCATGATGGTTCTTGGTACAGGACTGGAGTTTCTGGATCTTATTTTGATTACAGATTCTTCCTTAGGCCAAAGATATCTGTCCTAAAGCTTTCAACTGAAGTGATTGCTACACTCATGTGGGGCAACAGCTCTACATAGTTGATGAAACCACCAAAAGAGACAAGATGTGCAATGCTATTAAATGATCACCTATGATGCAAGTTGTATAAAAGAAAAGATGCATCCCATCTTCAAGCTTACACAGTCAATGACACCTCCTTTGGAATCAGGAGCAGCCAGCTGACCCTACCTTCCATAGCAGCCAACAAATGTTTGATTTGAAGGACTTACAAAAACACCTTGTAAATCCTTGTCCATGAGGTGATGAATTGGTGGACAAAAAAAGTGTGAACAATCTTCAGATATGAATTCTTAACAACATTGGGAACAATATGAAAAAGAAGAAATACAATACATGACCTAGCTTGAATATTTGTGCCAGTATTCAATCTTTAACTTATAATTTACGAATCTGACAGAACCTTGATGTAATTATCTTGCTGAGCCCAAGACAGCATGTCAATGACCATAGTATGTTATTCAATAATAATTCTATTAAAATAGGAGTTCACAACTTGAGTAAAAAAGACAAAAGATGTGCAACCAAATACTCCACATGTACATTCTTTTTATCTTGTAGAGACTTTCTGTGTTTTCTTCCGGTTTGTCATATGACTACAACCTTAAACAATTAGAGTAGAAGAGTCAAGATTGATGATTTGGAGAATGAAAGAAGAAAGGACAAATGCTATCATCCTGTAACAAACCGCAAAGACAGACAGACATGTTTTGGATTGCATCATTGTTAGAGATGTTAGATGCACATTATTTTGCTTGCAAGGGATAAAATGAAAGCAACTGGTGAAACAGCATAGCCTGATTCATGATAAATTACAAGAGTTAAGGCAATAAAATGGGTCCATTACTAAATCTGCTTACGTTCTGCACTTCAATCAGTCTGAGATGGGATAATGTGTTTATTTCCCATTTTATCCTTATGTTTATCTCCTGTCTTTTCACAATGTAACTTCATATTTCCACTTAGACTACATTAATAAGAGCATGCAAAGAAAATCAAGTTTCATCTCTGTTAAATGTACATGAAAGAGCATTTTAAACCACACATTTTTGATTGCATCATTTTGCAAAGTTACTTTGCAGAATTCTTCCAGATGAACCAAAACTTCTAATTCTCTGTTTAGATTCCTCACTGAAGATGTGGATTTTACCACACTGAGAAGGGCTGACTTTCTTTAAACAAGAGGGAGTTGGCCTCTATGTTTATGGAATTGGTTGATCTAAAGTTAGAGTTTCTTAAGAACTGAAGAAGAAAGAATTCAAAGCTTTCTTTGATCAAAGCCTTAAAGACTGACGTGAGAAACAGCAAAGGAAACAATAAAATGAAACAAACAAAACAATATTCCAGAACTTCTGCCTGCCAATTAAACCTCCCACTGCCAAAAATGGGGCAGAATATAGACTAGCTTATCAAATACACTTTTTTAAAAATCAGAGTTTTGAGTCATTGCTCTCCACTTTATAAAATGTTTACATATCTAAGTGGCTCAACATAAAGGAAGGAAGCATAACTTTGAAGTTCACAGGACTAGTCCTTGCAAGGAAGTAAGCAGGTGTGGATTTGCCACCAGTAATTTGCATCCCATTGGTACATTTTCATGGCCTAAATAAGCTCAAGGCCATGTGGGGAGGGAGAGGACCTACTGCCACCTGAAGTCCTCATCCAGAACAGCCATTTAACCTGCACCAGTTAAACAACCATCTCCAGCACTGAGTTTAAAGACAGGCTGGTAATTTAAAGTACAGACAGACAAGAAATAAACCTCCTAAATTAGTTTCAATAGGAGGGAAAACTACATTTCTATTGAAATTAGAAACCTGAGCTCCTACTCCAAATCACCCACAGGAATTTTCTGTAATCACTACTGACTACTTATTATTTTCTTTTGTTTCAGCAATCTTTATATTTAATAAGGTAGCTTTATCTTTTTTTAAACTTCAATTCGTAATAAGTAAACAAGGTAGAGAGAAATCATTTATTCAAAGTATTAGAATATAGGTTTCAAGTTTTTTTCTGATTATAGAAATGAACCTATTTTGTATTTCAAATGAAATTAAAACAACAAATGTTAATAATTAATTATAATACTATAAGTTTGGCAATTTTAAACTATAATTTATTGACTCGTTAAGCTTTTGTGAGTAGTTACAGCAGTTGATCTTTTTAATTGAAAGAATGGGGTAAAATACCTTTAACTAAATTATCATATTTTTATTTATTTATAAAGTACAATAAATCATTTCCTGAATTAAGAAACTTTCTGTTCATCCAAATGCCATCACGTACAGATTTTCTATAATGGCATATTCATTGCTGTTATCCAGAATTCTTTAAAGTGCAACTTTTACTGAATATTTTGAAACTTGTTCAGTGTGGAAAATCTATTAGGCCATATTAGAAATTATTTAGAATGCTGGTGTTCAATGTATAAATCTGTGTTTCAGTCTTCTTCCAATATTAACTTGATACAAAGAGCAAACAGAAAGGTAGTTGAGCCAGAAATGAAACATTTAATTTCCCTTTTCCTAAATCTACAGTGGGAATATTAGAATGGAAAGAAATATTTTATAATTTCTTAAGTATGCACAGAATATCTTTATCAGATAAAAAGACCTCCAGCTATACTGTGTAAAGATTTTCATTTTATGCCAGCAATCAAATTAAAATATTTTATAGTTAGCATCACAATTCTTGATTTTGGAAAATGTGAGTACCAATGTCACTGAATTACAAGAAAATTTTAAACTTATAGATTTAAAATTGACATGACTTAAAATCAATCCTTAGTAGATCCTGTTCAGGGAGATCCTAACTGCTAGAAAAGTATTTAAAATTATGACATTTCCTTCATTCTAATTTGAAAACCAATTGTGAAAAAGCTTCTGGAATAATTTATTGTATGAAGTATAATTATTATCATCAATCCCAGAATCACAGAATCACTAGGTTGGAAGAGACCTTCAAGATCATTGAGTCCAACCTGTTCCCTGACACCTCAACCAAACCATGGCACTGGGTGCCACATCCAGTCTTTTTTTAAACACATCCAGGGATGGTGACTCTATCCCATCCCTGGGCAGACCATTCCAGTATTTTATCACTCTTTCCAAGAAAAACTTTTTTCCTAATTTCTAACCTATATTTCCCTTGATGGAGCTTGAGACTGCAAATAACTGTGGGTCAGCAATAGGTTATCAATAGCTAATTTTTCCTCGGAGAATCCAAAACTGAAATTTTGACTTGAATTTTCTCAGCCTCAGTTGTGTACATTGTACAAGTCACAAGCAATCTTCCATTTCCATGTCAGACAAGCACAATTTTGAGATGTGTTTTTTGAGTAGAACTGCTTGTGTGCCTGAAATTTTTCCCACTTGTGTTCTCTACCTTTCCTTTGGTACATCTTAAGCAGACCTCTGACAAACACCCACACAGGAGATCTCTAACAAGCAGCAGAAATAATATTATAGGAACTTGAGTCTCTCCCTTTCAAAACACCTCTGGAACAATGTTTTAATACCAAATTGAAAAATTTAAGTGTAAATCCCTTCTGACCAGTAGAATATACTGAATTCAGAGGCAGCAGCAGTGCAACATTTGGACACAATTAGTACAGAAATATCAGCAGTTTTCAGAGTAAAGTGCAGGATGAAGCTGGTTACAGTGTCCTGTCACTAATCACTCCACAAGGAAGGCCCTTCTAAATAGATGAATCAGTGAAAGAAACTCATTATTCAACTAAATCTGTCCTGCAGAGGTCTGAAATATGCAGGAGAGAAAATGTAAATTAGACTATGTTCTCTCCCCATACACAAAAACTGGCATCCATACCTCTTATGCTCAAATGTTACAGTACAGCACCATTTAGTTTCTTCACAGAGAAAAAACGTACCAAGAAAGACAAAAATTTCCATTACTGTACATGCTCAGCTTATTCTAATATGCAGCACATGAGGGAGGTGAAAACTTGTAAAGCACAGTATCAGTTTCCTGCAGTTTGTATCAGCACAAGGCTGCTCCTCGCTGGAGGAGCTCCAAGGTGCTGCCCTGTGCACCCAAGGCCCTGATGGTGTGTTCCATGGGGCTCTCCTCGTGTGGTGGAAGCACCACTGCCCCCAGGCTCACTCATGTCCCCAGAGCACCCAGTGTCCCCCCTGGCAGTGCAGCTGGCCCCCAGACCACACCCAGCCAGGTAAGTCTGCTACAGCTCAGGGTAAAGACCAAGCAGGCACAATACTAAGTCCATCAATAAACTGCACTGAGACGATTCTACACACATTTATAGGCAAAGCAGACCTCTAAATAGCCAGGAGATAGACTAAATACCATAAAAGAACCTCTCAGGAAACAGCTTCCTCCTAATACCTAATCTAAACCTACTCTCTTTTAGTTTGAAGCCATTCTCCCTTGTCTTGTCACTACATGCTCTTGTAAATAGTCTCCTCCATCTTTCTTGCAGGCTCCCTCCAGGTACCAAAAGACTGCAATTAGGTCACCCTGAAGCCTTCTCTCTTCCAGGCTGAACAATTCCAACTCTCTCAGCCTTTCCTCATAGGAGAGGTGCTCCATCCTTCTAATCATCTTGGTGGCCTCCTCAGGACTCGCTCTAATGACTCCAACCTCATACTGATAAGGTACTGTTTTTCCTGCTCATGGAGCAGCTGAATAAGAGGCCAAGGACATTCCCACTTCCATAACAGAGCAACAGCATTGCAGCACAGGCACTAGGGGCTGCATTCAACCATTACTAATGTGCTCAATAGCTTAGGTATTAAGTTCAGTAGGAATAAAAAAGGCATGGAAAGAACACGTAGGCAAAATGTAATGGATAGCCACAGGTGGGAGGAAAAAATCAGCTTTGAATGCTCCCTAGAATAATTCCTTGCATAAGACTTTATATAAGCTGACAGCCTTTCATATTCTCAGAATAGTATCCCAAAATTCACTTGCAGGGTTTACATCCTCCAGTAAGAACAGCCCCAAGACTGCACTCACCAACCACTACAGTGTTTATTAGAGGAGAAAACAGGGACAGCCAGTTTCAGGTGGGGCTGGAATCCATTTTCAACAGCGTTTGAGGCTTTGACATCACCTATTGGGTCAGTTTACAACCTGGCAAGCCTGCAAAGTCTTGTCTATGACCCCCTCTGTGTGACTGTGTGGAAAAGAGACACACAGGCAGGGGCAGGAAGAAAAGCTGACCTTGATCAAAACCTCTCCAGAGTCCAGTCTTTTAAAGAACGCAGAAGAAAAACAAACCCAGCTGTCTGTGCCTCCTGGAACTGCTGCTCTACAACAGCAGAGGTGCAGGCAAAACTGGCAGCACCGAGGCACCCTGCTAAGCCAGAGGTGTGTTTGAGCACACACTTACTTGCCTACAGCCCCACAGAAAAGGCTGGGCTCAAACAGAGCTCACCAGGATGAAAGGAAAAACTGTGAGGCCTGTCTAGCTTTTGCCACATGAGAGCATTTTTGCTCCGGAGGGCTTTTATATATTTCAAGCCACCCAGTTGCTTTTATGAAGGAGACCTATGCCCAGCATCTCATTTCAAAGTGAGTCAGAGGCATGAGCAGCAGGAGAAGGTAAAGGTTTGGTTTCACGGGCTAACACTCATCTCATTTGCTTCATTATTTGGAACCATATGCCCAATGGAAGAAGCAGGGAAACAGTAACACCAGCATTATTTTAGAGCGGTGCCCAAGGGACTTGTCATCTGACATTCAATGTTGCCAGAATTCCCAGTGCAATGAGGACAGTTGCATTCCCTAACTTTTCTTCCCTACTCAGTAAGTGGCACACCTGCTTCATGAAAGAGCAGCTTTTTATTCGTGTTTCAACTTCTAGAGTGAATAAAGTTTTCCCTCAAGATATTGAAGCAAATATGGACAGTATGACACAACCATATCCCTAAATACTTAAAATTCTCAGCACAGAAGAGCAAACCCTTCTTCTGATAAAGTGCAATGGTGTTTCAATCTAACTTCATGTTTCCAGAAGCTTCAGTTTCCAGGAGTTTCAGATTGGAAAAGTTGGTTATCATAAATCCAAATCTCGTAAAAGCACATATTTTACATTAAGAGGAGGAAATCAACAATATTCTGACTGGGTAGGCATAGTAGCATTTTGCATGTAAGCAACATGCAAAAATTTACAGGAGGAAATAAGTAGCTTGCAATACAAATCCAGACTTTACAATATTTCTGAAAAAGTGAGGCTCTTTTTTTGCATAAAGAACCACTATGATGACTTGGCATGGCATCTCTTAATTGAAGCCACCAACACACAGAAAACCAAAACCTGCTGTGGAAGGAACCTGCTGGGTAACCCCATTTGGAATGGCAGAGAGGTGGTACATCTGCACACAAGCTGAATCCCCAGGTATGAAACAGAGGGAACAAAGGCAGGTAGCCTTTAGAAATGTTCTAAGTGATCCTTACAAAGTCTGGAGGTTCACTTGCCCTTTCAAAAATCCAGTAGGGAATATTATTCACTCTTTCATAACAGAGAGTATAGCAGACTTCTGGAAAGCTCCCTCAGCTTAATTCAAATCAGGTTCTGGATGTGCTTAAACACTTTCATAAGCTAATACTTCATATTTCTGAACATGCAAAGATTACCCACTGAGAAGCCTTCTTGATCCAGATGGTATGGGGAAGGGTGACTATTTAACAAAAGAGACACCAAAGAGGATAGACATTAAGGATAATTACATTTGGCTGCCCTGCTTTGTTTCCGCTGGGGTTTTGTTTGGTTTTTGTTTGTTTGTGGGGTTTTCTGGGGGGGTGTGTTTGTTTGTTTGTTGTGTTCCAATTCCTTTATTATTCAGGTAAAATTGGAACAATACCACACACCATGGAGAGAATATGAAAAAATACATGTGCACTTTTGTGCTATTCATGTGTTTACTTGTTCATGCTGCACCAAGCAGGTCCAATACCTTACAATCATATGGAGGAGAATAAGAAAAAATTCCTCTGGAGCAGGTCAAGTCTATGCTGAAAGGGGTTTTAGAAGTTTTTAGAAGACAGTATAGGTCATACAGTTAATTCAGAATTAAGATCATGATGTAGCTGACCAAGAAAAATACTGTATTGTTTTTATTGTTCTGCACAAATCAGATTACTTGCCCTTGTTTTCGCCTGGAGATTAGAATCATTAAAGTGCAGTGATTTGTTTGTAAACAGACTTAACACACAGCCTAGAAAACAAAACTTAAAAGTAGATGTTCCTCAACAGTCAGCTTCTAAATGGGGGAGCTTCACATACAGACATTTTCACATCAATAAAAAAGCCCTAAGAGTAATTTCTCTCCCTTTCTGAGAGCACAGCACATTATCTCTGGTTGGTACATCCTGTTGATTTCTAACCATCTCTGTTCTTCCTCACCATCTTCCTGCCTTTACCCATCCAGAAGAATCAGAGTGCAGGGAGCCTCCAAGGACCATGAAGGCACTAAATCTGATTCTCACCTGTTTGAACTTGATCCTCTTTTCCCCTTCTGGGAACAAGCCTAAACAAGGTCATGCCCAAAGTCATCTGAAACTGAATTGCTGCAAGGCAAGCTCTGCTGATGGGAAGTGGCTTTCAGCAGTTTTTCAGGTCAGAAAGGACCAGCACACCTGCTTGACAAAGGCTGCTGCAGAGAATAGCTGCTGGGAAAAGGCACCTCTTTCTAACCTGAAGTAAGGCCAGGACAAGTCTAAGATCAGTGTCTCCAGCCCCTGACTGAGAAGAATGAGGCTGTTCACAATATGGCAAGCATCATTCAGTTTCTTTCCTCTCAATAAAATAAGCCAGCTCAGTTTGCCCCTGAAATTCATTTTATTAGACTCCATGTCCTCAAGGCAACCAAGCCTCTAAATCCTTGATATTTCTTCCTCTCCAGCATTCAAGAGCTCTGTCCAGGGAGAAGAGGCTTAATACTTGCCTGCCAGTTTCTTCTCTTTTCAATCTCTTTTTTTCCCCTGGCTCCTCAGGCTAGCCAGGTCTCCCAGGTTTAAGGCCTTGGGTTCATGGCACACCTTTCAAACTTTTTTTCCCCCAAGGTAAAGCTTAAATCACAAAACAGATATTAGGCAAGAAGGAAGTAGATGAGCTATTAAAGGCTATGACTTAGAGGGTTTAGACTGCAGCTACCTCTGTCCACTTCCTCTTACCACATTCTGTGGAAGTTCTACATTCCCTCCCTAGAAGCTGGTGAGTGCTTGTAGGAGGATAGCACAATAACACTGGTTCATTACTCTCTGCACAAGCCACCTACATGACAAGCCAAGGTCTGGAGAAACGGGGAGCATCCTCCATGACCCAGGTGTCACCCCACTCAGAAAAGAAGCAATGGACACAGCCTAGAGGAGTTAGGCAGAGCTTTGGAGTGTGATCCAGCTGATGAGCTGTTGATCTGCAGTGAGAGCTTTACTTCCTCACAAAGAAAAAAACACAGAAATGGATTATATTTAGTCACAGGACATAGAAAAGAACAAGTAAGAGCATGAGAGTTCTTCAAAGATGAAGAATAAATCCCAATTGTGAGATCAACCAAGCCTGTGATGGAAGGATTGAGACACAAATTTGGAGACAGAACTGAAGAGTTTGCAAACTTCCCAGTTCCAGTTCTCTATGAGGGAACTCTTGCAGCTCTGCAAAGAGCACCAGATCTGCACACCTCTCGTGGGTTTCACTGCTAGACAATACAGCACACATATAAATCTTACCTAAACACTAATAACTGTAGCAAATTGTTACTGAATATTACTACTGATAACCCAAGGCAGAGTCCAGCTCCTACTTAGCTGTTTTCTAATGCCTTTGAGACCTGGGCCATGCAGTTTCTTCTACATCTAATAGAAAAACAGAGCTCTGCCCACTGACAGAGCACAGGAATGAAGCAAAGACAAGTGGTGCCTGAAAACTACAGTGCCCTCTTCACAGACAATTTGAGGAACAGTGCACTGCTGCAGCAGTAATTTCCTCTTTTGCTAGACCCAGACCTTTTCTCTTTTGGGATTAAACTGTCCAATACTCTTACAACCTTTTGAGAATCTCTGGAGAGAAGGGAGCAAGAGATGTGTCTTTGTTTACACAAATCTGCTAGTTGCACATGGCAAGAAGAAGCAAAATAACTCACAGCTGGACTGACAGAGAAGGCTTTGAGCATGGTGAGGACCGAGATAAACAGGCAGGGCAGTTTCTGAATCTTGCAACTAGCGTCAATCAGGTGACTCTTATCCCATTTCATTTGGGGTTGCATCAATATCTGCTTAGCCCTGAAGTACAAACTACCCCACCAAGCAGATATTAGGTCATCTTTTCTCATGTATGTCTTTGGCAGTGTGAGAGTGATTGCTTCCATTTCATTCTGTGTACTAAACAGGGAAAATACTCATTCATCTTGAAGGTAGTATAGGGAGTGGAAGAACCAATGCACAGAGAGCAAACAGATAATCTGACACTAGACCTGGCACAAGCAGGCAGCTTTACTGGCCAAGGGGACATGTGGCTGGTTTGGGCTGGGTTTGTGGAGGAGAGGAGGGGAAGGCATTCACCATGCCTGGTAAGCTTTGCTGCGTGGGGTGGAGAGCTACACATGAGGCCATGAGGAACCGTGGGTGAGGAATATAGAGGTCGACAACCACA